TATCCTATCTGTTCCTTTAAGACTTATTACTTATGGACAAACTCAGTCGAAAATATACGCGTTCTTCACCTTGGAATGTAGCAAGATATTTGAAATAATTCTGATGCGTGTGGATTTTCCCTCTAATCTTGGAAAGAGATTAACAGTGAGAAGGAGCAAATCTAGGGCATAGTCGCTGAAGAACGGTCGGAATTGTTCAGCCCATCCTTCAAGACGCTTCCAATCGTGTGATAATGGTTCACCCTTAGCATCTGGGACACGTGCAGGAAGTCTCTGCTTAGTGGACATCAGCTGCACTCCTTTGGGCATAGTTCGCCTGTCACCTTCTCAGGGCACCGTGCGGATACCGCTGATTTCGTCCTTCCAAGCAATAGTTCCCTGTCTCACCAGATAGTCAATCATGGTACAGTTTAAACTGAGTTACAAGGCATCGACACCGGCAGCGGGACAATTGATCTGACCGCACTTACAAGAACCTCAGCAGAAATCCCTTACCCTCCTCCTTTCTCATCGAGGGATTCGAACCAGCTACAGCGGAGCTACTAGTAATATATATGAACAGATTTACGAAACCTACGTGATCCAGTCTAACCATGGACTTAGTGTGCAAAATAAATGGTTTCAAAAGCAACTCATTTCTAAAAATATCAAGTAAACTACCGGGTATGACGAAATTTCTGATTAAGCAATGAAAGAGAATAGGAATGCGTAATCCACTATGTGTAATGTGCTCTTCAACGTAGATCTAAATATGTTGTCATTCGAAACAATCCCTGACTGGCTGTTCTTTCCAATGTTACCCCTCCTAAAAATATGCGACAATACGCCAAATCCAGTGCAAAGAAAACTTGTCTATCAATCAACAAACAATATCCTTTTCACTGCTAACATGCAAATCACGGAATTCGTGAATACTAACTACTTCTGATCCAATGACGCGAAATAATTTTAAGAAACTGCAAAATTTCATCTCATAAATGAGAATTATAATTTATAATGCGAATTAGAAGCCAATAACTCAGGTTTCAATCCAATTCGTAAGTAATCAGGTACTCTAAAAAAATTCATATTACGTAAATCAGGAATAGACACTATTTAAACGAGTGACAGCGGAACAATAATCATTTGGGAGCAACTAGATCTAACTACAATACCAACTAGAATGTAACACAGAACAGACAATGTAACATAGAGTACGCGGCACAAAAATGGATGAAAGAAAAACAGCGGCGCAGACGTTTGGATCAACACAAGCTCTGCTGTGTCAATGACAAATTCGAACTCCTGTAGTCAAACACCAAGTTGTCTAAGATATTGACTACGTAATTAATTATTGTAACGACGGTAATAACAGAACATAAAATCAAATTTTGCATCGTTTTACTGTTATAAACCTCATTGCTATCCATACACTACCTTAGGTCCATAGTAGTCACTGAAAACTGCTAAGCAGTGTCAAAATGAAGACAGCTAAAATCTGACAACAATAAACTCGTAATATTTGCGGATTTGCGGGTCTTTCGCAAAATTCACATATAGGAAAATCGGTTACAACAAAATTTATGATGTTAGCAGTCTCAGCAGATTTATCTCAGCAGTCGAGATCATTTGACGTCTAAAACGATTCCAGCGGTTTCTCTCAGGTTAGCGACTTTGTACTGCGTCGGTTGCTAAGATTTTATTTCAATACAAGGGTTCAAGTTAAAACTTTAGTCGCAGATGCCTCAAAACAGCTATCGGCAGCAGGAGGAAATTTTCAACAAGTACGTTATCAATCTTATTTAAAGTGCAAAAAGCAATGCAATGTATCAGAGATGACGGATGGTAATTTAAAAAATTCTAATTTTCATTTCTGATTGGTCATCAGGTAGCTCCTCCCACTCTGAAAGACATCTGTCAGCTATAGAAAAAGATACCGACGACTGGTGACCCAACTTCATTCAGAATGAAATTAAATTCCATTAATTTTTAAAGTTGGCGTAGGTTGTAGCTCGAGTTCATTAAAACACCATGCTGTCCTCGTTGGTGGTGCATAAACGACCTGCAATTTGTTTTTTGGCTGATTGCACAAGAGCAGAGTGGGATAAATTCCTAACTCAAGAGAGTTTGTAGTTAATAATGGAAAAAATTTACGCCAAACGTGGGCTTCTACAGTACAAAGCAACATAATAACCCACTGCGTCACTGCCTACCCCCCGCCTTCGTGTTACTTGAAAGCTGCTCTCTTATCGTTGACTGAAATCCAAATCAGTTACCTCGTTGTCAATCGGGTCATCGGCATCAAGATTCGATGAAGACGTCTGATCAAGTTTTTGCTTTTTGGCGGGCACAGTGGAGACTTTTATTGAATCCGCAGATGCTGATATCGCAGCAGCGGCTTCTAAACGAAGCAAATACGCAAATACAATAATGGAGAACAACCTTGAATTTTAAAAACCTCTTGTGCTACGTCTCTCTTTCGAAATCAACTTTTCCCGTTCTTCTAAATCACGCTTAAAATCACGTCCTTTAAGATCTTCTGGATTTTCCTGACCTGGCTGCCTATAAAGGCAACGCCATACGAGCAGTCAAGTTGCATCAGCGGAATACCTATGCTTCAATTTTGTGTGTGAAGGCATGTCACGACTGGAATACTGCTTCGACAGTTTGCTAAGGTCTGCCTCATTCCTTCCCGACCCTCCTTGGGCCGGGTTGAACGTCGGACGATGAGCAGTCGTCATGAAAACACCCACTTGTAGAAACGAAGCGCCGAACGCGAACCGCGCCTGC